TACCAGGGATCAGCACCTGAGAGCAGCGAGGGCGGAGTCACGGACACAGGTAAGCACACCTGTCACCTGCTTAACAAAGACCAGCACCAAACGCACGTCTGCACTTCCTGTTTCTCCTCTGCTCACTTACCACTAAGCTGCTTCCTCCCTGCTTCCATCTTCATCGTCTTTTCATCTCCTTCCTCCTCCTCGTCCCCTTCAGACGCCTGTCCCGAGTCCGAGTCCTCAGACGCTCTCACCTCCTTCATCAGGTCATCGATGGCGAAGGGAGCCTGATTGATGATGGTGCTGAAGACGCTGCTGCAGATCCCGCTGAGCAGAGTCCGACTGCGGGGGGGCACAGAGGGGGGAGGGGCACCAGCAGAGTTACAGACAGCAGATCCATCAGTTTCCTGCTTTAAAGGGAGCTGTTCACAGAAGCGAGCTGATTGGCTCACAGACTCACTCTTTGGTTCTCGCCGCGGTTCTGCAGAACGGCTCAATGAAGGTCAGGTTCTGATCGGCGGTGAGCTGCGGACAGGAAGCAGAGGTTATTCCCGCTGTTGCCGACTCACTGCACCCCTCTGTGGTCCACGGTGCTATTACAACCGACAGCTCACAGGCGAGGTCAGAGGTCGTTTCTTTGTTTTAACAGTACGATGAGTGAGTGTTACCTCTGCCGCTCCCATGACCGCCAGCTCAGTCAGGTAAAGGTCGAGGACGTGGAGCTGCAGGCCGCTCGGCGCCGCGGCGTCGCTCTGCAGCAGCTGAGCCGTCAGCAGCTCCAGGAACTGAGACACGGCGCTGAGGAGACAGGAAACAGTCACAGCCCGCAGAGCCACAGCAAATGACCGGGGAACAAACCTGTGTCCACTCCTTACCTGCTGTCCCAGCTCCGCCTCCTCAGCATCTCGAAGGTCTGCCTGAACACGAAGCGCACCAGCTGACAGAGAGAGCGAGAGACGTCAGGTTAGACTGCAGGGAGGCATCAGCTGACTGAACACCTGTAAATCAGTCGCCAGTAGGAGTCACCGATTCATCCAATCAGGAGCTAACGTGGGAATATCGGGAACGTGCGAGACTGCCGTCACTAACCATGTTCCCAACACTCAGGTGAGTCCAGGTGTCGTACCTGAGGATCAACACGAAGCTTTAACGTGTTCACGTTACTTTGGTGGGTCACACGTGGTTGTTTCAGCGTTTTACATGAGTAAACACCTGACCAATCAGAGCACGGCATCGTCATCTTTTGTTTGTTTGTTTTTTCCCACCTGTCCCGTTTGGCTCTTTTGCCATTCTGCCATCAGAATTATTGTCTAAAGACGAAGAAAGATGCCCCACGGATTTACTTTACCAAATCGACCATCCCAGCCTTGCCGTAATGGTCTATTTGATTCACCTTTTATTGTTTATTTATTTGTTTATTTTATTTATTTTCACTTGCTAAATACGGGACAGACTTGACTGGGGAAAAGAAAGAGGGAAAGAAAAACAGCGGGGAAGAAGGATAAAGGGCAAAAAACAAAAACCAACAAAATAAGCAGACAAAAAAAACAAAACATCCATCAATCACCTGGATCAGCTGCTGAGAAAGAAAAAAGAGAAAACAAGCAGAAGAAGAAAAAAAGAGCAACATAATAAACAACATCACGATGATATATGGGAATATAACAGTAAATACTAAATATTAAACTGTGCAGCACATAATATCGACAGC